TCCGTATCCATGCGTGTGAATGTTTCCTCGGTGTTTATGTGTTTGTGCATGCGCACAGGTATTTTTCCTGTGCTTACACGTGGAAGCAGGCGTCGTGTTGAAGAACGAACACACGTAAGCGTTCCTGTGTGCGTGCGTGTCAGCACTGGTCACGGGTTCCTGTGTGCATGCTTGCATTTGTCACGTGTTGTATGTGTGCGTGTAAACCTTTTTCTGTACACCAGCACACAGACATTTGTTATGTGTTCACGTGTGCATGCGTGTAAACGTTTGTTATGTGTTTATGCGTGTGAACGTTTGCTTATATGTGTTTGGTGCTAAATTTTTCCACAAAGTTCACTTAGGTGTACTTCTTGGCCTAAGTTTGACCTCGTGGCTTTGTCATTGACCGGTATCTTGCTAATGCCGCTGATGTCTTCGTGGATTTGGTTTTGTATTTCTGAGACACCGGTGAGGTCTTGTGAGGTTGAGAAGGGGTGTTTGATGCACACCCGGGGCCCCCAGCGCCTAGAGTCCCGGCGCGGCGGGGTAGGTCACACCTCGGACCTGCATCCGCCTCACGTGGTATTTAGGTCTCACCTGCCTGAAGGTAGCTGTAGAATGATCAGAAATACAAGTTGCATTGTCTGAAAACCTGCGTGAGAGCCGGTCGGGTCTCTGTTGATGTATTTGTTTCTGACTGTTGGTCCATCTCTGAGGGACTGGCTTGTAGCGTAAGGAGTTGGCTCACTTGATAACGGAGACCGGCAAGTTCAGGGTTTGCACGGCTGCCGTCTGAGCCAGAATCCAGAAGCCGGCAGGCTGCAAGAGCCAGCGTTCGGTTGAACCCCCCCTCCGGCCGGGGGATTTTCCTACCTGGGGGAGGGGGGCTCTTGGTTCCCTCGAGCCCTTCCACAGACAGATTGAGGCCCCTACACACGGGGGAGGCCAGTACGTTTGCTCGGTCTACCGATCTAAATGTTAGTCTTAATCCAGAAGCACCCGTAGAGACGCAGCCGGAATACTGCTCGACCGAACTCCTGAGCCCCCTGTGGCCCCTTCACGCCACATGTCAAGTTAACCCCACAAGCCCGCCCTCCGTCCCCTCGATGCCTGTGCTCGTCTTAGTAAGTCACGGCCCTTAATCTCCAAATAGAGACCGCAGCACGGTCGTGACTCTGCCCGACAGCATATCCTGGCTCTCCCGAGCGTCCCTGAAGACGAGCCGCCCCCGGCCAGGGCGATGGGATCCTCAAACACGGGGACGGGAGTGGGCGTCTTCCCCAGCCTGGCGAGGGTGCGTAAGAGAGGCCAGGAAGGGGGGGATGTTGGCTCGCGTAAGAAGATGTGGGCTCGGGCCTCCGGGACACGGTAAGGAGGTCCCGGCAGTCGGCGTGCACTCGGAGCTGGGCCCCGGGAGTCCACCGGCTCCGGCACGGCTTGGAACTACCAGGTCCACTCTGGTAGAGGTGTTTTGATAAATGGTGGTGGTGAAAATGTATTTCCTCTTTGGGGTTCGCCACGTCGGGTGCCTTCTTGCTTGCTCGATGGAGAGAAGGCAGAAGAGAACCTGGACAACATAGGCAACACGTGAGTCCAGCCCGCCGTGGGGCCGGTAAGGCTTCCCGTCGGCGGTCGGCCGCCAGCAGCTGGGTGGTGCGGGCCTCCCAGGTTCTGCTCGGATCCGTGTGCGTGGCCAGGGGGCGACGTCCCTGCCCCGCATGTCCTCAGCGTGGGGGCCGCTGGGGCCCGTGTGCCCACGGGCAGAAGGCACAACAGGCCTCCGTGTTTCCTTATGTTAAGTTTCCGAGTCGCGGTGTGTTTCCAGAATGTGAATGTAATGTTTATCCCTTTTAATCTCAGAGGAGTAATGAATTTGGGAAGTATCAGTGCGGCCAAAGGGGGGAGGCAATCCACATTTGTCTCACCACCAAGAGGATTGAAAACCCACCGTTAACGTTTTTCACGTGTTTAAGTTGTAACTTGTTACTTGATCTACCTTTTCCCGAAGCCTGAACTTGATGGTCACTTAAATGTGCGTCTAAAATGCTGTTTACTTCTTCCACCTGGGGAAAATCTGGTTATTTTCAATTTTCAGCGTGTCATCGATGCTTTGAATTCTCTTCGTGCAGTGGGGTATTTCCGTACTCGAGGGGAGTGATTTCCCCGAAGCGGAGTCACTGGTTTGAACAGTTTTAAAACAGCGTATTGAGTTTGGGGGCCAAAGATTTCAAAAGGTCACGATACAGACTCCTGAACTACTTTTTGAAAACGTACAGACCGGTCACAGCCATTGGTGAGTAATCTTCGTAAAGGTCTGTCCAGTCTGACAGTGGCAGCTTTTAACAACGTAAGCATGATGTTAAGAGAACCCCCGAGAGTGTGTGTTTTCTGGTGTCACCACGACGGTTGTAACTGAGGCTTTTCGTTTTGAGGGTGAAACTTTTGTTAAGTTTAATATTTGAAATCGTGTTAACGGTTCAGTGACTAGAACGACGACCCGAATTAAAGAAACGCGTTTAGGCTGAGCAACATAAGAGTTTCTAAAAACCCGAGAAAAAGTAAACTGAAAAGCCACCGGCCTGCCTCACACTCCTAAGCCAGCTTTTGAAGTAGCTTCTGAGGAATAGGGTTTTCTAACCCAGGGCTTCTTTTCGCTCAGGGCGCGAGCCCAGAGCCCACGCACGTCCTCGGTGGCGGTGGAGCCTCGCCGCAGCTGGCTGCCCGGAGAACCTCAGGAGGCCGCAGCCGAGCTGGGCTTTAGGCAGCGGGGGACTCGGGACCGGTGCGGCCTTGGCGTGTCGGGGAGGCCAACTTGCTTAGAGCGTCGTCCGGGGGCGTCAGAGCCTCACGTGGCTCAGGTGGAAACCGTTCTTAGTGGTTACTTCTTAGGGGAGAGTGAGAATTTCCGCGCCGCACCGTGAGTTGAAATTGCATTCGTGAGGTTTCTGTTTCTCCGTGTGGGGGTTGACCCCAGGGACCCCTGACAGGAGATCTGGCACCGTGGGTCTGTAGGTCGTGGGGTTAAGGGAAGGAGGGGCCCGTAAATCGGTCGCTTGGGTTTTATTTGATAGGATGAGCCTCCTGAGAAGTTCACAGTATGTTACTAGTTCCAGAGTTCGTGATTCACTTCCATTTGTGCTTCTGATGGGCTGACTGTACGCCCAGCCCCGTTTGTAGAGTAGGTTTTAAGGGATTTCCTTAAATTTAACTTTGTAGAGGGTAGCGTTGGCCGTGCAGCGTGGGAGCGAAGTTCCGACAGGACAGTTCCGGGGGGCCTGCCAACAGCAAGCACTTGGGATCTGTTACCGGGTCTCTGCACGGGGATGCACACGGGCTCTCCTTCTTCCTCTGGCGCCTCCTTTCTAGATCTTTCGGGAAGGCACCGGTAACCAGTTTCTCCAGATGTTTCCTTCTGGCCCATCTTAATACGTGCAGCATTGGATAAAGCAGGCCAGCCGATTCGCACCGAGCAACTCCGGTCTCGAGGCCGAGTCTGTGCGTGTGCCATCTCCTTGCCCCTGTTCCGAGCTGGCTTCGAGCTGCCCTGGCCGCGCCGAGCCCTTCACGATCGCTCACGGCCCTGCGTCCCATCTTTTCAGACCGTGGACAGAGTTGACCTTGGCGTGCTGCGTCCCTCAGGTCACGTTTGTTTGTGAACTTGAGTTGGATTGTGGATCGCCATCTGTGCTTGGGGCCAGTGCTCGCTGTGTGTTGACTTGTCATATTGACTGTCCTTTCCCTTCCAGTGTATGAATCTCCCTGCTCTGGTCACTCTTGCCCGGTTGTAAAAAAAAAAAAAAAAAAAAAAAAAAAAAAAAAAAAAAAAAAAAAAAAAAAAAAAAAAAAAAAATATGCCATCCTGATTCTTTTTTGTTTTTGAAAAATTTTTCATGTTTATTTTTGAGAGAAAGAGAGACAACGTGCAAGTGGGAGGGGCAGGGAGAGGGAGAGAAAGAGAACGAGTGGGGGAGGGGCAGAGAGAGAGGGAGACACAGAATCCCAAGCAGGCTCTAGGCTCTGAGCTGTCAGCCCAGACAGAGCCCGATGGTGGGGCTTGAACTCTTGAACCGCGAGATCGTGACCTGAGCCGAAGTTGGACCAACTAAGCCACCCAGGCGCCACCTACACCGTACGGATTCTGTAGTTGTGGGGTTGTAATGCGTTACTTTTCTTTTTCTCCGGAATGCATTTTTTTTTTCCTTAACGTTTATTTATTTACTTTTGAGAGAGTACAAAGTGGGGGAGAGACAGAGAGGAAAGTTTGTATTCCTATGTTTTTGGTAAGTGCTCATTGACTGAACCAAAAATAAATGGACTGTTCTTATTTTCAGGAGCATTTTGGTATCTTTAAGAGCAATACGTTTCTATTGTATTAGTAATTTTCTCGTAAAGTGCATTATTCAAGTTTGACTTTGACTTTGACTAATCCTTTCTTAAATTTTTTTGAGACGTCAGGCTTACAGAAAAGTAAATGGAATTCTTAAACGCTGTGGCCCAGAATCAGGAGCTGTTACGTTTTGCCTCACTTGATACAACAGTCTCTCTGTGTTATGTGAATGTGAGAATAATCGATTTTTGTTTCTGTCTCTGGATTACGTTGGGGAAGGCAGCCCAGGCTGTGTGGAGTGCAGCTCCCTGCGTGCGGAACCGTCTTTCCCTTGCAGGTGGCGGCAGCGGGGACAGAGCCTCGCGGCTCTCGCTCAGAGGCTGTTAAAACCTCTCCCCGTCGGAGTTTGAAGCACGCATCAGTGGTCCCGAATTTTGTATTTGTACATACGGGGATTGCGTCAGCAGTCAGTTATTTCCTAATGGATTCTAGCTTTAGTTGAGTTAAACGAGTCCATAAAACTGCCGGTTTATTGGATGAACTTTGGTTGCTCTGCAGACGAGCTGTGTTAAAACTTCTCGTGGAGGTTTTTCTTCTGAGGCGATAATGTGTTCTAAGGCGTTAAACCATTTCCCCTCATTGCAGCTCTCTCTCTCATGGAAAAATAAAACGTGACTGTGTTTGTTTTTAGAAGACCCATTTGAGGACTTTTTTGGGAGTCGAAGAGGCCCCCGTGGAAGCAGGAACCAAGGCGCAGGGTCGTTTTTCTCTGCCTTCAGTGGATTTCCGTCATTTGGAGGAGGGTTTTCTTCCTTGGATGCAGGTATTAAGTCTTAGATCTGATTTCTGATATCTGAACAGACATTAATGCTGATAAACACTTTCAGTCAATGCAGTTGTGTTCTTTTTTTTTTTAGTATTTAGGTTTGAGAGAGCAGGCACGAGTGGGGGAGGGGGCAGAGAGAGAGAGAGGACAGAGGAGCCAAGGCAGGCTGGCTCAAACTCAACGAGATCATGACTTGAGCTGAAGATGGTCGCTCAATTGACTGAGCCTCCCAGGTTCCCCCGAAAACCCACTTCTGATCTTACTGTTACAGATCAATGTCTATTTATTTATTTAATTTTTTTTCATGTTTGTTTATTTTGAGAGAGGAAAGAGCAGAGTGAGAGGGAGAAAGAATCCCAAGCAGGCTCTACACTGTCAGTGCAGAACCCGATGTGGGGCTCGAACCTAAGAACTGTGAGATCATGACCTGAGCCGAGATCAAGAGTCCGACACTTACCCCGCTGAGCCACCCAGGTGCTTCTAAAGGTCAACATTTAATGAAACTCCTGGTTAAAACGAGTTACTTGATTTGAGTAAATAACAGAAAAAACCCACTAAGACAACTGCCTGATCCTTTTTTTGTCTAACCTCCTTGGCAGCTGTAAAAACAATAGGGATGATTGTAGAAGAGTCTGGGTTGATGGGATCAGAAGGTGGGGGAGGGGAGGTGTTAACCCAGCGCCCCCCCCCCCCCCCCCCC